AAAAACAAGGCTCCAGGAATTGCTGGAATACCAATTGAGATGTTTCAACAAACACATGCAGCGCTGGAAGAGCTCACTCGTCTATGCCAAGAAATTTGGAAGACAGCTACCTGGCCAACCAAATGCGGAAATTATTGAACAATATCATTAATATCACACACAAGTAAAATTTTGCTGAAGGTGATTCGAAAGCGGCTGCACCAGCACATCGACAGGGAACTGCCAGAAATTCAAGCCGGATTCAGAAGAGGATGTAGAACAAGGAATGTCATTGCTGATGTCAGATGGATCTTAGCTGAAAGCAGAGAATACCAGAAAGATGTTTACCTGTATTTTATTGACTATACAAAGGCATTCGACTGTGTGGATCATAACAAATTATGGATAACATTGAGAAGAATGGAAATTCTAGAACACTTAATTGTGCTCACGAGGAACCTGTATATAGATCAAGAGGCAGTCGTTGGAACAGAACAAGGGGATACTGCATGGTGTAAAGTCAAGAAGGGTGTGCATCAGGGTTGTTTCCTTTCACCGTACTTACTCAGTCTGTATACTGACCAAATAATCTGAGAAGCTGGACTGTATGAAGAAGAACATGGCATCTGGATTGGAGGAAGACTTATTAACAACCTGCGTTATGCAGGTGACACAATCTCACTTGCTGAAAACGAAGAGGACTTGAAGCACTTACTGATGAAGATCAAAGACTACAGCTTTCATTATGGATTACACCTCAACATGAAGAAAACAAAAATCCTCACAATTGGACCAATAATCAACATCATGGTAAATGGATAAAAGATTGAAGTTGTCAAGGATTTCATTCTACTGGTATCCACAATCAACACCCATGGAAGCAACAGTCAGGAAATCAAAAGACCCATTGTATTGGGCAAATCTGCTGCAAAAGACCTGTTTAAGGTGTTAAAAAACAAAGATGTCACCTTGAAGACTAAGATGCACCTGGCCCAAGCCATGGTATTTTCAGTCACCTCATATGCATGTGAAAGCTGGACAATGAATAAGGAAGACCTAAGAAAAAATGACACCTTTGAATTGTGGTGCTGATGAAGACTATTGAATATACCAGGGACTGCCAAAAGAACAAACGAATCTGTCTTGGAAGAAGTACAACCAGAACGGTCCTTAGAAGCAAGAATGACAAGACTGCGTCTCACATACTTTGGACATGTTATCAGGAAGGATCAGTCCCTGGAGAAGGACATCATGCTTGGTAAAGTAGAGGGTCAGCGAAAAAGAGGAAGACCCCCAACAAGGTGGATTGACACAGTGGCTGCAATGATGAGCTCAAGCATAACAACGATTGTGAGGATGGCACAGGACTGGGCATTGTTTTGTTCTGTTGTACGTAGAGTCACTGTGAGTCGGAATCGACTCGACGTCACCTAACAACATACATATATACACACATATATATACACGTGAATATATGTGTATATATATATATATATGTATGTATGTATGTATGTATACACACACACACGTTGTGATCCTTAAGGTTATGTGTCAACTTGGCTGGGCCATGATCCTCAGTGGTTTGGCAGTTATTATGTAGTTTGGCAGTCGTATGATGATGTGATCACTTCCACGATGATATTTGATGTAATGCAATCACCTCCATGATAGATCTGCTGTGAGTAGCCAATCAGATGAAAGGGAATTTCCTTGGGGATGTGGCCTACATCAAATATAAGCGTACTGCCCAGCAAGGCTCGTGGGCTTTTGCTCCCTCTGAATCCTGCAGCTGGCTCCTGTCCGTCTAACCTCCAGTTCTTGGGACTTGAGCTAGCAGCTCAGCCGCCATCTTGCTTGGCAATCTTGGGATTCATTGATCTTCACAGGCTGTGAGCAAGAGCTCTGCTGTCTGACCTGCCAATCTTGGGTTTGCCAGCCCCTGCGGCTATGTGAATCAGGAGAAGCCTCTCTCCTGACCCACGGACTTAGGACATTCCAGGCTCTACAACCATGTGAACCATTTCCTTAATATAAATCTATATATATATATTTATACACTTTACTGGTTTTGCTTCTCTAGAGAACCCAGCCTAAGATACATGTCTATGTATATACATATATATATCAAAAAACCAAACCTGTTGCTGTCTAGTCCATTCCAACTTACAGCAACCTTATAGGATAGAGCAGAACTGCCTTCTGGGGATTCTAAGGAGCAGCTGGTGGATTGAACTGCCAACCTTTTGATTAGCAGCTGAGCTCTTAACTACTGTGCCACCAGGGCTCCATATATATAGACATATATATATGTATATATACACACACACACACATACATGTATATGTATACACACACAGGTATACTTATGTATACATACATGTATAGATACATATAATATCTCAGAAAACCAAGCCTGTTGCCGTCCGGTCAATTCCAACTCATAGCCACGCTATAGGACAGAGTAGAACGGCCCCGTGAGGTTTCCAAGGAGTGGCCAGTGGATTCGAACTCCTGACCTCCTTTTGGTTAGCAGCCGAGCTCTTTACCACTGCGCCACCAGAGCTCCATATATACATATATAGAGAGAGGGAGAGAGAGAAACTTACATCAAGGAAGTGGCTAATGTTGTTGAGGCTTGAAAGTCCCAAGTCTGTGAGTCAGGCATCAGGCTGGAAGCTTCTTCTGACTCACATAGCGGCAGGAGCTCACAAACCCAAGATCAGCAGGTCAGGCAGCAGCCTGCTGGCTCACAGGCTGTGGAGGGCAAAGTATCCCAAGATTAGCAAGCTGCTGGCTCAAGTCCCAAGAACCAGAGGTCAAAGGATGACAAGCTGGATGCAGGATCCAGAGCAAGCAAAAGCCAGTGAGCTTTGCCAGAACATCCATGTATATTGGATGCAGGCCACACCCCCGAGGAAACTCCCCTTACAACTGATTGGCTGCCCCTATCAAATCTCAACATGGAGGTGATTACATTATGGCAGAGCAATCGGTCCAGTGTCTGCCAAGTTACATTATTACATAACTGCCAAACCACTGAGAATCATGGCCCAGCCAAGCTGACACATTACCTTAACCAGCACAAACACCTGTGCTGACATATACCAAGACAGAAATCATGCTTTAGACATTTGCCTTCAAAGATGAGGTTTTAAAAGCTATAACATCTTAAGTTAGCTATAAGCAGATTAGTAATAAAAATGCATTCTTCCATTCTCCAGATGTTTATTGCCTGAAACAGTTGATGCTCTCAGCTGCTACCCAAAAGGTTGGAGATTCAAGTCAACCTAGAGGTGCCTTGGAAGAAAGGCCTGGTGACATACTTCTGAAAAATCAGCCTTTGAAAACCCTATGGAGCACAGATCTGCTCTGTCACACATGGGGTGGCCATGAGTTGGGATCAACTCATTGGCAATTAGTTTGATTTGGTGTTTTTAGTAAGTACAAGTACAAATCAGAGTTATGAGCACCCTGCGTTTGTAAATTTATAAGAGTTTAAGTGAATTAATTCCCTTCTAGTTCAATAACTGGCACTGAAATGACAGCCTGTGTGTGTAAATGAGTGTATACACTGTTAGAGCTGTATCCCACGGCAATTTACTCAGCCCACCTCCAAGCCTGGGTCCTGAAGTCACTCTGAGCTTCCTTAGCTCTGGCTCTGGGGGCCTCGCAGCCTCCTGCACTCTTTCCCCTCTGCTCCTGGGGTCTGGAGCCCTCCGCTGTCCGGGTTCCCAAAAAGTTACAGCTTCCCAGCAGTGCCCGGTAGCTGCAGCAGCTGCCATTAGCCTCCTGGTGGAACAGGCCCTGGCGGTCTCAGCCCCAGGAGACCCAAGGCCAGCAACACAGCCCTCACTCTCCCACTAACTGCAGCTTTCTACCCGCGCTGCACCCGCTGCCACTGACACCTGTGGGACCCTGCACCTTATTAGGCAGCAGCCCCAGTGCCACCTGCTTGCAGGCCATGGGATCCTCTCATTTTCTGACTAAAGAGCACACTTCCGTGGGGCTCGGAGGTCCGACTCCCGTCTTTCCACAGGTAATGGAGAACCGGCAGCTGTTCGGCGCCCTTCGGTCCCTCCTGGAAGACTTCCGTGTGGAGCTGCGGGAAGATGAGCGGGCACGGCTGCGGCTGCAGCAGGAGTATGCCAATGACAAGGCTGCCTGGGACGTGGAGTGGGCCATGCTCAGGTGCCGCCTGGAACAGGTACCGCCCCGGCGAGTCGCCACTCGCTCCCGCTGTCGGGAGGATGCACGCTTCGGTTCGGATGCCACAGTGCCCTTGCCCAAGGGGAAGAAAAATTCCCATGAGAGAGCGAGAAGCAGCCACTCGCTGTCTCTTCAAGGCCCCTGGTGTCCCCTAACGTTCCCTCTCCCAAGAGTGAAACACCCCGTCTGCCAAGCAGCATGTTTAAGGGGGCCTTCGTTTTCCCATTCACATCCCACACGGTTGTATTTGGCCCCATTAAAGGATGCCCAGCATGAAGCTGTCAGACTGAGGTGACACAGACAGGAGCAAAGAAAAAGCAGATTGTGATTTAGTTATCACTGAAAAAGGTAGATGCACGCTTTTCTTTAGAGTTTTCAAAATATTGAAAATACTTGTAGATGTAGGAGTCTGTAATCAGCTTTGGTCTTGTTATTTACACATAAGGACACTGACACCCAGCAGGAAAGTACAGCCCAGGACCACATAGCCACTTAGTGGCAGAGTGGAGGAGAGAGCCCAGGTTTCACCCCACACGACAGAGTGAAGTCTTCTCTGAGATTCGACCACAGGACTAGATGTAACAAAGAGCATCCTTTTCTAAATGTCTCTGCCCTGGAAACCCTTAAATGTAACACCACTTACCTCACGTTGTCTGCTTACTCAGGTCATTTCCTGAGGTTTCCTTCCAGTCCTTTGATCAGGACGAGTTAGGAAAAGTCCATGTATCTTTTATAATCTATTTTCTAGGCCCTAATTTGAGGCAGACCATGAATAATTAAAATTTTATATGAATTGGCTTCGTCATGAAGGAAAATTGCACAGAAAGCAGACCTCTTTCAAATGGCCTTGATAAAAGATTAAGTGGCCTGTCATGTCAAAAGAAAACAGCTCCCCTGGTGCCCACAGGTTCCACCTGTATTGCCATCTGGACCGATCAAGCGTGGTGTCAGGTTCACGGGCCTGAGTAGAGCAGGGACACAGCCTGCTCTGCAGAGGAAGTAGCAGTGTGTAGCAAAACCAAAGCAGCAGGCCAGGCGCATCAATGACAGAGCACCTGACCCAGGTATGAATCTTGCCCACTGCCCAGTGGGGGTTCTCATGCAACACTTGGCTTACCTTCCTGCACAGCCTGAAAAGTCAGTGGTGTCGGAGGATGGGAAAGGACATCCTCTGATGAGCTGTCTTTAAACCTATTTAAAAAGATATTTATGGGGGGAAAAATAAACCTTGTTATTTTCAAAGACTTTAGTTAATGAAGGGAGGCGTAATCTTCGATGCTGGCCAGTTCCAAAATATTTCATCTCTGTGTTAGAGAAACCTGGTATGCACCTACCGTGGTTGCTACAGGTAAAGCCTTAAGGAGAATCAGTAAACACCAAGAACCAAAGCTAGTGAGAATTGGTAAAGAATTCATCTTCTGCCCAAATTGTTTAAGAAGTTCCCTACACATTTGCAGCCCAGGAAGCAATGAAATGTGGCTGATGCTAGTCCATTTGAAATAAACCCATCTTTGCCCTCTTTGACTTAAATACAAAACAGTTCAACTCTACCAAACATTAAATATGTTCTTTCAGCAGCGGCCGTGTTGGGTCAGTTCCCAAATAACGTGATTCTGCCAGCCTGTTCTTAAGTCAGGCATTGTTCTAAGTGCTGAGAACACAGCAACAAATAAGATATTCCTTGAAGGGGCTCTCAATCTATTGGGAGTACAGACAACCGCTGCAGGGTTTAATACTGTGAGAAGAACCACACAGCACAGGGGCATGCAGATCACATACTTCAGTGAGGGCACAGGGAAGAGTGGTTTGTGAAAGTCTTCAATGAATCTTGAAGGATGAGTAGGTTGGAGAAGGAGAGGAGGGACATTTCGGGCAAAAAGGAACATTAGGAGGAGAGAGCAAGGCACATTTGAGGAGCTGCACTTCCATCAGGTAGGAAGGAGAAGAAGAGTGTTACAAGCATTGAAACTTTAATCCTGGATGCAAAGGGTTTAGATTTGAATTTTTGAAAGATTGATCTTGACTTCAAGGTAGAGAATGGATTAGAAACCATTAGAATGGAAAGGATTAACCTAAGGTCCATGGATAGAATTCAGAGATGTGCTGTGGGATAGGAATACTATACATCTTTATGCTCGCTAACTAAAATTTAGCGTGTCTTCTGATTATAAATGTAGGCAACAAGCCCAATAGAAATCATAGATACTTCCATTTCATGTGATAGTTGTAGGTATCTCAGAATTAATATTGAGCAGGAGACCTTTGCCTTCACCAGACTGCCAAAGAGGTCTGCTGTAAAAAGGCTTCACAAGCTTGGATTGCAGAGAAAATTAGTTGGAGGCTGAAAGACTCTTGCAGTAATACAGGTGAGAGATGATGTGGACCAAAAGTGAGGCTGTTACAGTGGAAATAGAGAGAGGCTGCAAATCTGAAATACCATAAAAAGTATAAATTGGCAGGATCAACAACCAGTTAGAGGCTATGGAGAGACATGTATGTTTCTAGTTTGGGTGACTGGGTGATGGTGCCATTCATTCACCAAGGCAGGAATACAGGGAGAGAAGTCAGGATGGAGAAGGAACAAGATGAACTTGAGGTATCTGACATGATAGATACTGGGATATAGAGGGCTGAGCTGAAGATATGGATGCCTGAGTGTCAAACAATAGGTGGGAGTGGAAGCCAGGGCCATGAGTAGAATCTCCAGTACAGTGTGTAGAATGAAAGAAGTTCAAAGAAAGAACTTAAGGAAATACTCATTTCCAAGAATTTGGTAGAGGAGGAAGAGATTGAAAAGGAGCAGCCAGAGAAATGAATGAAAATCCAGGAGCAAATGCTGTCCCAGAAGTGAAGGGTAGAGATACCACAGAATCTCATGTGGAGTTTGACAGTATCACATGCTTTGGAGAGGTCAAGTAGGATAAAAGATGAGAAGTTTGTTGAATTTGGCAATTAGGAAGTCACTGGAAAACTTGACAAAAACAGTTTCATGGAGTGTGGAACTGAAGCAAATTACAGTCTGCTGAGAAAGTTTGATGATGAAGGGAAGAGAACAAAGGGCAGAAACTAAACTAAAAGGAGGCAGAGGGCCAAGGGAGGTTTTTTTTTTGTTTTGTTTTGTTATTTCCCCCAGATGGGTGAGACTTGAATGTATGAGGATAACTGATGAAACAGGATCCCTGAGTAGGCAGAGGGTCAGGGATGTAAGCATAGGTGGTGGGATTATCACTAACCATGAGCGAGAAGAGGGCAGTGAGGGGTACAAATGCAGATCATTTTGTGGATAGAAGGAATTAGTCTTTACTGTCTCTATGAAGCAGGCTGGCAGAGGTCATTTGCTGCCAGTGAAGGGGATAAGTACTTGAGTTGATGCTAAAGAGAGGAGGTACTGGACTTCTGGAAAGCATCTACAGGTTAGCAGATACATCTAGGAGAGCCTCAGCGCCATATCTTTTTACCCTGGGTTATATGCATTGTTAGGAACTCTTTTAACTTGGAATTTTGTGGTTCTTCATACTTACCAGTAGTCTTCTGGTTAACTCTAGATGTTTCTCCTCCTTTTTTTTTTTTTTTTTTTTTTCTCTTTCCATTTGGAAAAAAAGAGGGTGTTTTATTTTCTCCAAATACACATTTTATAAATACCTGATCAAGAAGCATTTTCCATGATTCTGTTGTTTAGCGTATTGTCAGTATATCCCAGCTTATGTTATCTGCTTCCTTGAACATTTACCTACCCTGATTCATCCCCAGATCCAGGCACACACTCCGCCTTACTTCCCGAGAGGCTCTCAGTTAGAGGACCTATGTTCTACTCAGATGCAGTGGACAAAACAATGTGCTTTTCTTTCCATGGGCTCACTATCATAGAGATGAGTGTTCAGTATTTGTTTTCTCCCCATGAGCCCCTTATGAGTAAGAACTTTCAGTTTAACTGAGAACACCACTTAGCAACACGATACAAGCAGAGAAGCTTTCTGAATAATATTGAGTGGCTTTAAGTCTTTGAGCAACTGATTTCAAAAAGGTTAAAGGATCTGTTCAGACATGGATAATCAACTCTGAATGATTTGGTGGGACTTTGAATAACACAGTCTAAGATATTTAATTGAATCTAGATGTGCGTAATGAAACAAAGTTGGTTTAATTTCCAAGGTGTTTACTGATGACGTTAATGATTAACAGCAGTTAAAGAAAACCCACCTAGTTTCTAGTCCCAACTCTTTAGGCAAGTCCCTCAAGCACTCTGAGCTGCCATTTCTTAACCAGTGAATTGGGAATAATGATATCTGTACTTAACAGGATTCCTGTGAAGACCAGATGAGGTAATACATGTGAAAGACCTTTTTTTTGAAAACTGTAATCAAACAAAAAGTCAAAAACCTCTAAACAAATTTACAGACCATGTATCAGGATAAAAATAAGAGACAAAATTGTTTTTGTAATCTTTGGTTGTTGCCTAGGGTTTGCAGTATATATCAGTAATTAATCGGAGTATGACTTGAAATTATACTACTTCACATGCTTTATAAGGATCTTACAACAGTATATTCTCAAAGTCTTCCTCCCATCCTTTGCATTATTGTTGTCGTACAGTTAACGTCTACGTATTCTATACGATACATTGCAGCTATTTTTGCTTTGTCTGTTACATTCAATGAGACTTTAAAGAAATTGAGAAAAAAATGAATTTCATATTTACCTATTCATGCCTTTTCTGTTGTTGTTAGGTGCCATCAAGTCGATTCCAACTCATAGCAACCCTGTGTACAACAGAACAAAACACTGCCCGGTCCTGCACCATCCTCACAATCGTTGCTATGCTTGAGCCCATTGTTGCAGCCACTGTGTCAGTCTATCTCATTGAGGGTCTTCCTCTTTTTCACTGACTCTCTATTTTACCAAGCATGATGTCCTTCTCCAGGGTCTGGTTTTCAGCAGTTTGAGTATGATATGCCTATATGTGAGTCTTTGTTTTCTTTTGGTATTTAACCTGCTGAGTATTCCCTAAACTTATTGGATCTTTAATTTTGAAAAATTCTCAGCCATTATTGCTTTAAGTATTGTTCTGTTCCATTCTTTCTGTCTTCTCTTAGGATTCCAGTTGCATGTATGTTAGTCTACTTGTTAATGTCTCACAGCTATTGGATGCTGTTTTTTACTTCACCACTGAGCTAAAAGGGTGTCTGGGGGCCATACTCTCGGGGTTTCTCCAGTCTCGTTTAGGCCAGTAAATCTGGTCTTTCTTTTTTGTGAGTTA